CTACTGACTGATAAGCCTAATTTCACTAATCTACAAATAGCCTCAGAATCGCCACACAGAGTAGCGTAAGGAACACTCTTACTTCAGATACTTCACTGAAGGCGATGATGAGAACTTGGATATGGTTGTCTCCTCTGACGCATCTCGCCAGTTTCTTCTCTAGACTGTTCCCAGTGTTCCCACATACAGAATCCTCTGAAACTTTGTGATCTTGTAGGACTTCCTGTGGCGCTTCAACCCCAACTAACAGATTCAGTGAATCTAGTCTTCCTGGTACCAATAACTGAGAAACTCAGTGCAGCGCTGCTCCAACCTACCATGCGATGCTTCAGAATTGGGGATGTTGGCCCAATCCCAAAATCGCAACTCACTTCCTTGAATTGCCTCCTCAGAGCCTCTCAGGCCTCTGAATAAGAATCGCCACTCACTTCTGTACTTTCCTGAGAAGAAGTGAGGCACCCTTTGTCCAATTCTTCTCGCCACACGCTTTCTACTACCACCCTCACTGTCGCCAATACAGAAGATGACAAATCGCCATGAAATTCAACTTCAGTGTCTCCCCAGATGATGATAGTTGCTCCAACTCATCACAGCGTCACTGCCTGGATCCAATCGCTTCGATACCAAATGTTATGAACCTGGTTGCTTGTTGTCCGAAGACCAACACTCGCTCCCATAGACTACCATGCATGCCCATACATACACAGAAGGAAGGGGAGAGGATAGGAGTATCACACCGCACAGAGAGAAAGAAACACAGTGGAAGACTTGGCCATGCGATATGACAGAACACACTGAAAGTGCAATTCGCTCCACAAAATCCCCACAACCAGTCACCAAGGAAAGTCGAGTAGATCACATCTAGAAAACAATGAAGCGACGATAGTTCTCACACAGTATCCACACTGTTTATTAAACTCAGAGAATCGTTTTGTCGGAATAGTCTCAGAAACCTGGTGCGCTGCTCAGGAATGAGCAGCGCTTCTCCCCCAACCCAGAGTAACCACTATCTATTACCTCAGAACCCCTTAAACAACCATCGCCACCAAGATACTGCCTCCAGAGGGAAGCGCCACCTTGAAACAGGCCCCTCAGGCCAAGCGCCTCTCAGAGGATGAAGAAGAAGACCAGTGCCACAGTCCTTGATGAAGATGAAGTGCCAGGCGACTTCACTGGTGAAGATCTGCAGCAGCGTCACATTTGCTGACAAAGGAGATCTCTGAGGACGTAAGCTGCGACTATGGCTGCAGTGCCACCACCCTGAACCCTACTCCTGAGGAGGGTTCAGCAGGGCACCAACTTCCCGAGCTCCCAGCAGACCTCAGATAGCCCAGACCTCTGAACAGCCCCACGTGCTGCTAGAGAACAGCGAAGGACCCAGCTATGGTCAACGCTTCGAGGGTCTGGCTATGTCTGTCTTCTTCAACGCTGAAGCTGTCACCACTCCAGTTCACGCGTTGTGCCGTCGCGATCTGCAAAATGCCAACCGCCAAAAGCCCTGAACAGCCCTTCCTCAATCTATCAATTGATCTACTCTAGCCTAGACTCGACCTAGACCGGACCTACTGGACCGACCGGTACCATTTCTGTTTCGGCCTCTAGGGCCTCTCCTTACCCGGCTATAGGCTGTAGGACCAGTCTGTCAGCGTAGGCCCTTAGGCCTGTCTGTCCACGTGGTAGCCCAGGCCTGCTATTTGCAGTTAGGGTGACTATAGGGAAATAGGATTAGTGCAGGTCTGTTAGTTTTTACAAATTTGCAGATATGTCCCTCACGTATTTCCCCACACGCTGGTTTCCTGGTTAGTACACAGTAGAAACAAAATTACGAATCTGTCCTACCTATGTTACAGCCTCGGTTCGACTGGCCGCAGGCTGCAGAATCAGCAAGTCATTGCACGTGTGTGTGCGAACAAGTTGCAGGGGGATACAGTTGATCGAGCGGGAATCTTTGTCTGGCGCCCAGCGCCATAGCCATTCAGACAAAGACAGTCTGATTGCATAGCCTTTACACACCTCTGTTTCCTACGCCTATGGCTCAATATAGAAAACGTCTGAAACATACTTCTTTAGAAATCCTAAGAGGAAAAAGAGAGAAAAACAACCTTGATGTCACTTTTGAAGTACTCTTACCCATACTTGCAAGGGCACATCGTGCGCACAGTTCCCGACGTGCGGCGCACGCGCCCAACCGATCCCGTGCGGTGCACGGCGTGTGCGGGGAACAACCCGTCAGCCCCCTCCAGGAAGAAAACAGAAGGCCAGGGTTCGAAATGGTGCGTTCGAGGCCCCCTGCCAAAATTCTATGTGGGATGAAAAAAAAAATTGCAGGAGTGCTGCCTCACCTCGCTCCTCCTCCCCTTCCTCGTCCTCCATGTCTCCTCCTCCCTTCTCCTTTTCATCTCCTCTGACTCGTCCTCCTCCTCCTGCCCTTCCTCATCCTCCTTGTCTCCTCCTCCTCCTCGTACTTCCTTGTCTTCCATGCCTCCTCATCTCCTTCCCTTCCTTGTGTCCTCCCCTTCCTCGCCGTCCATGTCTCCTCCTCCTCCCACTCGTCCTCCTCCTGCCGTTCCTCTTTTCCCTCCTTCCATCTCTTCTCCTCCCCCACCTCTCCTCCTCCTCCTCCTCCTCCTCCTCCTCCGCCTCCTCCTCCTTCTTGCTATCCTCGTCGTCCTCCTCGTCCACATCCTCCTCCTCCTCTCCATATCCCCCTTGACTTGCCATATCCCCATCTTCCTGTCATACACCCTCGTACCCCCCCAAAAGAAATAATAATAATAAAAATAAAAAACCTGCATGATTCCGCACAGGCACCCTTCGCACGGAACTCCTCCGTTGCAAGTATGCTCTTACCCCATATAGGTCTCCGTTAATGCATCCATTCCACGACTGGTCCCCCGCTGGACAGGGGGGCCCTCCCCCAACCGGGAGCCTGCCGGTTGGACCAGGCGGTCGACCGGCCCAACAGACCCCTGGTCGAACCCAGACGCTGGGGGGGGGGTACTGGGAGTAAAGGGCACCCCTGCGATTGCCCAGCCCACGGGAGGCCGCTGCCTCCTTACAAAAAAAAAATCGGTGTCTTTTGGACCCCACTTCTTGAAAAAAGCGCGCAAAGATCTTCCACCGCGGATCTTCGCAGATCAGTGGAGAAAAATCAGTGCTTTTTTTTTTTCAAGATACGGGGTCCAATAGGCCCCTTTTTGCAATTCGGCGTCCTGTAGTCCAATGGACCGCAGACAAGGCACGACGTCCACTCCAAGTCATAACTGAAAGAATATGCCTTCGAGGTGGGTTCACTGATATTATAGTCTTCTGCGACGTCCTCTGGGGAAAAAAGTTATGGGTTGGGTTGGGGCTCGTGAAGTCAGAGTAACGATGCTGTCCGAGGTGCATGCCCAAGAGTGGACCTCACTCCACTACATGTATCTGGACACACTGCCAGGCAAGAAACTTTTGGACGGATGACCCACGGTATGTAGAGAAAAACAAACAGAAAATGTTCTGCCTCCACTGAGAGCCATCCCTTCCTGAACATCCCAATACTACCCCCCCGCGCCCCTCTGAAAAGCCCTGCAAAAAAAATCGCGCATTCAAAGTTTTAGTGCAGATTTCAACAGATCTCGACGAGCGCAATCTGGATCTGCCAAAAAATAAATAAAAAAAATTGGGCATCGTTTTTAAAAACCGGTTTTCCGGTTCACCCCCCCTGGGCTGGTCCGGCACCGGGTGGACCTGGGGGAAGTGAACTGGCCGGTTGCTGACCCAGCCTTGATCCATTGAACATGCAATTTGCTTCAAGAAGGTGCTTTCTTTTGTGTGTGCTCTCCTTCAAAGGACTTCTGAGGGTTCTCTTGTAAGTGTAATGTCTTTCTGACAGGACATTGATGCCTTGGTCCTATGCAGCATTGCTTCTAGACGTTGCTCTTCTTTTGCTTTTTTTTCTTTTGTACTCTCCTTCCAAGGGACTTCTGAGGGTTCTCTTGTACTAGGTGTAATGTCTTTCTGACAGGACATTCATGCCTTGGTCCTATGACTTCTGTTCTTACTACACCAGCCAGTTCTCGGGTCAGCTCCAGTGGTAAACCTTGGGCAGAAGACGAGAGTGGCGGATGCTGTGAGCACATCATCATTCAAGATCTTTCTTGCATACACAACCTAGAGCATTGATTGGATCGGCAAGCAAGATACTTATATTCAGCGGTGAAGCGATGAACCAAATGGGTCATTGATGCTATTACAACGGGTTTCTTGTAAATACAAGTGAACTGTGTACTTTTAGGAGCTTCCTAACCGGCAAATAGTATATATATATATCGTCACAAATATATATATATATATATATACTATTTGACGATATATATATATATATATATATATATATATATATTTGACGATATATATATATATATAAGCATCCTCCAAGACAAATATGGCCAATGCTGCTGAACCAGAGAGGGAAGTCTCACTTGTCACGAAATATAAGAAGGCAGGGTCTCAAATTTTGAAGGACAATTTTGTAGGAAATGTGCACATTGATTTGCATCCTCGTAAGCCCTGGGTTTTGATCGTACTCTCCAACGACCCAAGCAAGTCAATTCAAGTGTGGAACTACGAAAATGGCGCACGGGTTGCAGCATGGGTAACGCCTGGTGTGGGGAGAGGTGAAAGGGCAAAATTCATTGCGCAGAAAGACTGGATTGTGGTGAGACAATCAAAATCTTTAAATGTATACCAAATCCAGTGTTCAGGCTTGCGGGAGATCATTAAGTTGAAGGGTCCTGGAAAAAGCCGTGCATTCGGACTGGCGGTCCATCATACCTTACCTTATGTACTTGCCAGTTTCGGAAGTGCCATTTTTTTGTGGGACTGGACCAGTAATTGGCAACAGAAAGCTAAATTCCAATTATGCCGTTCTCTTGGCGCGAGTGCTTTAACTTTTCATCCGACAGAGGCACACATATTTGCAAGTGGCTCAAACGATGAGACAATCGAAATTTGGGATACGGAAAATGATCGCTCCCCTGTCCAGACACTTCAAGATACTGAAAAAATGGACTTGACCAACAGCATCGAGTTTAGTAGTGGTGAAGGGAAGTCACTCTTGATCACAGGCCATGATGATAAAAAAGTAAGGGTCTGGGACTATGACAGAGGAGTTTGCATAGCCAGACTGGAAGGACACAAGGATTGGGTCTATTCTGTGTTTTTCCATCCACACTTGCCCTACATCTTCAGTGCATCAGACAGTGGAGAAGTTAGAGTTTGGAGGCAATCAAACTATGAGCTGGTGTCATCGTTTCCGCTTGGAGTCCAACGTCTGTGGAGCATGGCTCCTTGCAAAGACTCTAACAAGCTTGTGCTTGGAGCTGACGGACAGTTTCAGGTTCTTGAGGTTAACATCAGAGAGAACCGCATTCCATCGCAAGAACTGATTCAGAACAAGGAGAAGAAGGTTGAAGAGTTGGAAAGCGAGGTGGTTCGTATCAAACTTGAGCTAACCAGGAAAAAAGAGGAAGAGGTGGAGGAGTTGAGACTCAAACATAAGGAGGAACTTGATGAGGTGAGAGCAGATCACCGAGAGAAAGAGAGGACGCAAGCAAACTGGGTGAAGCAGTTGGAGGATGAGGTAAGAGCTCTCAAGTCCAACAACACTTCAATGACAGAGAGGCTTGCAATGGCAGAAAGGAGGAATCAAGAGCTCGAGTCGGAGATGAAGTTCAAATTTAAGAAAGAACTGGATGAAGTGACGGAGGATCTTCGGGAGAAAGAGAGAATGCAAGCAAACAGGGCAAAGCAACTAGAGGATGAGGTAAAAACTCTCAAGGCGTGGAGCAGAGTGATGACACAGAGGCTTGGAAAGGCAATGCAAGCGAACCGGGCAAAGCAGTTGGAGGATGAGGTAAGAGCTCTCAAGTCCAAGAACACTTCAATGGCAGAGAGGCTTGCAATGGCAGAAAGGAGGAATCAAGAGCTAGAGTCGGAGATGGAGTTCAAATTCAAGAAAGAACTGGATGAAGTGACGGAGGATCTTCGGGAGAAAGAGAGAATGCAAGCAAACAGGGCAAAGCAACTAGAGGATGAGGTAAAAACTCTGAAGACGTGGAGCAAAGTGATGGCACAGAGGCTTGCAAAGGCAAAAGACAGAAACGCAGAGCTGAAGTCTGAGAGGGCAGAACTTGTGGAAAAGGTTCAGCACCTTCATAGTGAGGTGAAAAACCTCATAGTGCAAAAGGCAGCGGTTCTGCAGAACCTTTGAAAGTGTGAGAAAAGAGTTTAGGAGCAAGAGCTAGAAAGAACGGCACTGATCAAAACTTTCAACAAAATAATAAATGAACTGAAGCAGAGATTGAAAAATGGTGGTGTTGTTGCATGTGCAATCCGAGAGTATTCTCTGACGGAGCTCAAGGAAGCTACAAACGACAAACGACTTCAACATGAATGCGGGGAGTGGTGATGGGGATCAGTTTGACTCCTTTTACTGTGGAAAACTCCACGACGGAACGCCCATTGTGGTTAAGCGGGTAAGGGCTACAAGCACACAAAGGATTGATAATGGCGAGCTCAAGGAAAAACTGGTGGACACGTTGAGAATGTTGCAGCATCCCAATTTGTTGAGGTTTTTGGGAGTCTGTTACAAAGAGAATTGTCTGGTGTATGAAGACATCGCGAACGGAAGTTTGAAACAGTGGATTGCAGGTGGCGAAAATCGCAGGAGAGGATTTCTGCCATGGCATGCTCGCCTTCGTGTGATGGCAGAGACTGCTCGGGCAGTATCCTTCCTCCACTCCAACCAGCTGGACACCGGCGATCCCATCATCCACGGTGCCATCAAACCAGCAAACATACTTCTCGATCACAATTTTGTGGCCAAGATTTGTCAGGATGACCGGGCTCTCCTTGTGTCCCGACACCCGAATGGAGGGCATGCTACACAAGATTCTATTTGTGCTTTCCTCGGAAGCAACTGTCAATACCTCGCACCAGAATATTTGCGTTCAGGGGTTTTCAACGAGAAGACGGACATCTACGCTCTTGGTGTCACACTATTGGAAGTTCTCACTGGAAAATTTTGGAATGCACTGGGAATCATCGAAGGTGCCATGCGAGACGGTGGAGCGTTTGAAAATGCTCTCGATCCAAATGCAGGCTGTTGGGATGTAAGTCTGGCATGGCAGGTGGCGGAATTGGGCCTGTGCTGTGCGAGCCTGGACGAGTGCAATCGACCAGACATGCAACAACGGACTCTGGCATTGTAGCTACATTAGACAGAGTTGCAGGAAAAGTAGAGCTTCCTGCAGCAGCTGAAGATGGATAAAGTAATCAAACCACGCAGCCCATGTACTAGCTGAACGGTACACCAATGACTCGATGATAAACAGACCTATGTTCGAATCCGGACAAAATCAGATGAGTAATGGACTGGTCAGCTCGATGATCATGATATTCGAAGGCCGACGCCCTAGCGTCTTCACCCGAATAGAATGCCTGGTCATTATCCCTGTATCTAGACTGAACGTTGCACCAAATACAGCTATAATGACCGGGCGTTCTATTCGGGTGAAGAAGGTAGCCACACGGACAAATGGGGCAGTGTTTCCTCATGGATAAAGGAGAGGAAAACTCGTCACTAAGTCCTGCCGTAGGAAGACTCTTCTCGCATGCTATTCTGTTCTCTCTGTGGATTGCGACTTCCTGTCTCCAGTGATGGATTGATATGTTAACAGCATTGGAAGGATCCCTGTCATACATGCGCTTGAAGAACTTAAAGCTGATTTGCTATCTTGTGCCCGGTGGCTGCTGCCAAGGTACAGGCTCAGCCTGAGGGTCTGGTCTCAGGGTTCAGTTAGTGTTTACAGACAGATTCAATCTGACACAGTTTGGGTGTGATGGAATGTGTCTTTAGGAGACTGACTCTCTGTAATAAATGATGTACTGCAATTCGTTCCTGAGCATCACCAGTTGGTAATATTTTTCCGGGATGTGCCTCTAGAAATATTTCTTTTGCTTGTATGAGGTTTTTTCTTTTGTTTTCAGGAGACCTTAGACGAGGGACATGGAAATATAGGTGCATTTCTTCCTTATGAGGGGACAGCAGGACCTCTGTAAACAGGTGTAAATCATATTCTAGGAGTATGGATGATGTTATCTGACGGCCACTGCGCGCAACCTTCCTCAACATGGTCATGGGTGATGGGAAGCACGTGATCTCTGCCCTGGCAATGGGAAATCGATGAGCAGACTTACCTCATCCCGTCGGGCTTGCTGCTTCCTGGTGGAGGTCTGTGTGAATCTGAGGGACATGGAAATAGGTCCATTTCTTCCTTATGAGGGCAGCAGTACCTCTGTAAACAGTTGTACCACCATATGCGAGGAGTATGGATGATGTTAACTGACGGCCAGTGCACCAAACCTTCCTCGACATGGTAATGGGTGATGGGAAGCACGTGATCTCTGCCCCGGCAATGGGAAATCGATGAGCAGAAGTACCTCATCCTGTCGGGCTTGCTGCTTCCTGGTGGAGATCTGTGTGAATCTGCTCCTGGTAGTTGTGTGGTATTGATGCCGACACTAGGTGCACAGAGAAATGGTTTGAAGTTCCATCACGAACAAAGGGAGGTTGATACCTGCCATAGTGTGCAGAGGGGGTGTTATCACACCCCGGTCCTGGCAGAGGTGTAAAAAGTTTATCCTGTGATGGATTTTTTTTTATTTTTTTTTTGTCTTTTTTTTTTTACGTGATGGATGCTTGACTGTGGCTGAGATGTTGGGATTCAGTTGAAGCATCTCAATCGACAAGTTGAACCGATGCCAGGGTTCCGATCAGCTTCACAGTGAAGAGGAGGCTATTAGGCAGCCATGAGAAATTGAAAGAAGATGGTCCGCTTCTTTCTGGACAGAGCACAACTGCCTCCATCTCTGGATATAATCCCCCCCACCCCCCCCTTCATTAGGGTTCATTGGTGTTCGAATGAAGTCAAACAAGACGAGAGCAGGTTCTGAGCC